TGTTCTTCCCTTGAGCATATAATACTTCCTCAAAACCCCTTCCCTTGTAAACCCAGCCTTCTCCAGCACCCTCTGCGACCCAATATTCTCCACATCCACCAGCGCCTCAAGCTCCTCAAACCCACCATTCTTCTTCCTTCTTCTTATTTTTTTGCTCTCTCTTCTCCCTTCTTCTTCCTTTCTAGATCTGGGTTTGAGAAAAACCCAAATCTAGGTTTTCTTGTTCTTCCCTTGAGCATATAATACTTCCTCAAAACCCCTTCCCTTGTAAACCAAGCCTTCTCCAGCACCCTCTACGACCCAATATTCTCCACATCCACTAGCACCTCAAGCTTTTTTAGATGGGGCCAGTCTTTGAATATGCTTCCGACGACCAATTTCACAACCTACGTTGCAATCCCTTTGCCCCAGTACTTGGATCTCAAAGCATACCCAGGTTCCCCTTTACACATATTGTAGCCTGAAAATGCCGTCACTGAAATTGTGCCAATGGATTTTTCTCAAACCCACCAAACTCTGTGATGAAAATAAACGTGCATTTTCATTCCGCAATCATACGAAATCAAGTACTTAGGGATACAGAAATTAGCTTTTACCATTAACAAAAAGAAAAATCTAGCTTTGGCCTACGCAAATCACAAGATCCATCTTTGATGTTCCGAAATGAAAAATGGATTTTAATATTACAAACATAATGCCCTCAATTTGATAAATGTTTTTCAAAAGAGTAACAATTAACTACTGGATCATACAGTAATTAGTGATATTGTTGCAGATTCCTATGTTTGGTTTTCGAGAAAATAAAAATGCTCACAATCAAAATCAAAAGAAAACAAGATGCTGCATCACCAATCCATTGTTGTCGTCTCTTGTTGTTTCTTAGCAACCAAACAGGGTAACCAACAAAAAAAAAGAAAGAGAAAAAAAACTAAAAACAAAGAGCAAACAACAAATCTGGTACCTGTGGAAAGAATTGGAATCTGTTTCCTGTTACTGTAAATGAACGAACTTAAATGACCATCAACAAACAACGCCCTTCCTAAAGTGATGAAGGAATCAAGAATTATAGGAAATGGCAGGAAGATCTAGGTTTTGAGAAAAACCCAGATCTGAAGAGGAAGAAGAAGGGAGAAGAGCGAGAGAAAGAATAAAAAGAAGAAAGAAGAAAGAAGAAGGATGAGCAAGGAAAGTTGTGGATGCACTCATACATCCCATCCAACTTCGCTATATCTTTCTTGCTCTGAAGAATCTCCTTCCCAGCGACCGGTGGCGGATTCTTTCTCTTGAGCCACGGCTCAGTGTTCTTATACTGGTTGCAGAAGTTGGTCATGTCCACCACAAGATCCTTAATTACAAACATGTGGGGTACCAGTGTAATCGTCGACTCTGGCCTGGACAGTATCTTGGTGAGACACGCAAGGCCATTGCAGCCATCAATGTTCATCGCACAGGAGCGGCAAATTCCTTCCCGGCAAGATCGACGAAAAGTAAGAGTCAGGTCGACCTTGTTCTTGATCTTGATTAAGGCATCCAGATCTTGATAGAGATGCTAAGCTTCAAATTTTAGGGTTTGCAAAGGTAAGGGAAAAGGAAAGGTAAAGAAGAGAGAAAGTGAAAGTGAAAGAGGAAGAAGAACGGCGAAGAGTTTTTTTTTTTTTTTTTTTTTTTTTCTGATGTGGATAAAAAAAAAGATGTCATTATTTTAAATTAAATAAAAATACCAACTCATAAAAAAAAGATAGCCACCTATTTTTTTTTCCATGTCATTAGTTCAAAAAAAAGAATTGATTTGCTAGCAAGTTAATGTGCTATTTGTCATTTAACTGATGGAAGGACCATTTTGGTATCGAAAATGAAAGTTTAAGGGTAATTTTGGTACTTTTTAAAGTTAAGGGACAATTTTGGAGCCAAAAGCGGAAAGTTGAGGGACCAAAATGGTACTTAAACCCAAAAATAACAGTTTCCTACAGAATTAGGAGTATGACCTGCCTATTTGATTAAATCTTCTACCTGGTAATTGTAGATCCCTTAGCCTTCCTCCTCTGTCATAGTTGAATTTTAAGGACCCAGCTGGATTATGCATCCAATCTGATAGGGAAAAGAAACATCCTCCCCTTTTGCATTTCATCCAATTAAACACCCTAAGCTGAACTAACTCTAGCAACCTTCCTTTATCTACCTCCTTCCCTCTAAATAGCTTCTCATTCCTAGCTAGCCATATAGTCCAAACAATAGTAAACCAAATACATTCCCATCCGTCCTTCACCCCTGCCATTTTAATCATGTTGCAATGTTGTTCAAATACACTCCCACAATCTTTGTCTACTATAGTCCTTATTCCCCAACATTTGAAGGAATCCACCCAAAGACCATAAGCTATTTTACAGTGGACAAAAAGATGATTGGAGTCCTTAGTTTCTCTACTGCAGAAAATGCACTTGCACTCCTCAAAATCCTACAAAATTCCCCTCTTTTAGCCGGTTACACTTTGTTGGTATTTTATCTTGCAATTTAACATGAGTTGATACCAAAATACAATTTTGGTGAGATTTAGAACTTGTTACGATAAATTTAATTGCTTGAAACATCACTTAGGTTGGCAAAACCTAACATACAGAGATAAACTGAGAGAATCTACTCTTAAAAACTCACTCAAATGGAGAACTAGAAATATTTCATAACTCAAACTTGATTAAAACTTGATGCATACAATGGAGGGATCTTGGTTATTTATAGGCTAAAACTAATTAAAGGTAATAAATAAAAAGTAAAATGAAGTTGAAAGTTAGCTATTTTTGTAGAAGCAGCATTTTACTGACTTAAGCGGCCATTTTCGGCAAAGTTGCACCGGTCTATATTGTAGTTGGTGTTGCTGCATCCCTGGTGCATTATAAAGAAGTAAATATGTAATATTTGTAAAGTTATGTCCTTATATTTATAGTTAGGGTTATTGTACCTTGTATATATACTCGCAATCATACTCTAATATTATTCATTGCCGCATACTTTCATCATCTCCTAGCCTTTGTGTTATATGGTATCAAAGCACCATCTTCTCTAATGAGTTTTTTTTTTTTTTTTGACGATCCTATTGGCAACATCTTCTACAAGCATCACAGGTGCTTCCTCTCCTTCTAATATATCTGTTCCTAATTTTCAAGAAAGTCGAGGTGCAGTCACTTGTTCCGTTGGACAGAATTCTTCCTCTCCTAGTGCCTTTAATGTTGGCTTTGGGGTTCTTGCTTAGGATGATGCTACTAATTGTCAGGGTTATATTGGCAGCAACAATCTTTCTCGTGAAAAGTTTCCTGGAAAGTGTCAATTTTGTTGGCCATTTGCCACACGGCTCGATTATGCAAATTTATAGTGATACCACCAGTATTGGTTGTTCATTCAGTTGCCTCCTTTACAGCTTCCAATCAAGAATGGATTTTGGACTCTAGAGCTTTGCATCATATTACTTCAAACCTGGCAAATCTCTCACTTTACTCTCAATATGATGGTCCTTATGAATTGCTAATTGGTGATGGTTCAGGATTGAGAATAACTCATGTGGGTGAAACCCAAATTTCTACTCCTAATTCCTCCTTTTATTATCTAATGTTCTTTGCATCCCATCTGTTTCCTATAATTTAATATTTGTTTCTAAATTTTGTGAGATTAATAATGTCTTCATTGAATTTCACTCAACCTATTTCATTATGAAGGATCGTTGCACAGGGCAACTCTAATGCCCGGATTGAATAAAGTTGGTGTGTATCAGGTCCCCATATTGACATGGGCTTCAAGACCTCAACCTCAAGCCTTTCTTGGTGAATAGGCGACTATATCAGATTGGCATTTACAACTAGATCATCCTTCCCCACATATTTTACATAAAGTTGTTAGAAATTTTCATTTACCTCTTTCCAGCAACATAAGTTTTAAAACTTGTGAACCTTGTCTTTGTTCTAAAAGTCATAAGTTATCTTTTCTTTGTCAACAGTATAGGCTAGTGGTCCTCTTGATTTTCTCTATATTGATGTTTGGGGTCCAGCCCCCATAACCTTCTGTGATGGCTACTGCTACTTTGTTATCTTTGTTGACTTGTATAGTTGTTACATTTGGGAAATTTGACGTGTCACTAATTTTTTCTAAATTAAATTGTTAGTTGAAAATCAATTTCGGAGAAAAATATTGAACGTTTATTTTGATGGTGGTGGTGAATATATTGCTTTAAAACAATTTTTTTCTAATCATGGAATTTCTCTTTTTCGGACACCACCATATACGCCTGAAATTAATGATATTAGTGAGCGTGGTAATCGCTTCACCATTGTTGAGGACAGGAGAAAAGTGAGGAGAAAAACTGCTATCTACCGGAGAAAAATCAGGAGAAAAACTGCTATTCACCATTGTTGAGGACAGGAGAAAAGTCTGGAGAAAAACTGCTCTTCACCATTGTTGAGGACAGGAGAAAATTCAGGAGAAAAACTGCTATTCATCATTGTTGAGGACAGGAGAAAAGTCTGGAGAAAAATTTGGAACTGGTCAAGGAGAAAGTTAATATATATATTGGATATGGGGCAGCAAGGAGGAGAAGGCTAAAAGCAGAAATTCAAGGAAGCAAGAAAAAGCAGAGCAAGACGCAATTTCTACAGAGTGAAGGGAAAGAGGAACGATGTTCTCCTACGAAAACCTTAGACAAAATAGGTAGCTTTTTATACACCAAACTCAGATCTGCCATCCTGATCCCTGGCACACCCACTTCGCTTCTCCACTAGTCTTCCCTCAAAAGGTTATTATTGAAAAAACACTTTGTGAAAGCGTTTGTTCAATAGTAACCTTTTGCCTTTTAATTTTATAATAATTTTCTTTTCTTTTTTTAAAAAATTTTTCTCCTTTATTAACTTTTCAGTTGATGAACATGCACTATTTCTTAAAAGAACTGTTTTGCCCCCTAAAATATATTGCTGACTCTCCCATTGATCATAGGGAATCCGGCAGCCATGAAAGCCGTCGAAAACCAATGTGGAGCATAATCGCCTTGATAGCGATACTACGTACGTATAAGCTATATTTATTTACATCATTTTGGAATCTTCGTTTTGATGTATTGATTTGTGAAATTACAGTAAACGAAGCCGTTCAGAACGCTGCATGCACCTTCTTGTTAAATAACCTGGTGATCTATATGATTACGAATTATCATATGACTCCTGAAAGAGCCGCAGACATTGTAGTCTTTTGGAATTGTCTTACTGGTTTCTCGGCTATTCTGTGGGCCCTCATCGCAGATTCTCGTATTGGCCGTTTTCCCACTGTCAGCATTGCTTCACTGTGCAGTCTCTTGGTAAAATACTATTTCCTAAATAGCTTCTCAAATGAATTTAATTTGCTTGTTTGGTATAATAATAATAATATACATTTCTTCTCACTAGCTTCATGCTGTATTTTTATGAAACTTGATTACCGTCTTCGCATTCTTCTACTTGAGTTGGGGACAATAAAAGTACCAATGCAGTTTAAACTGAGGAAAATGTTTTCATTCACTTGACCTAGATAAAGATACAATTATCTTTTATATAGGACTTGTGCATAAATTGATTAAGCCCTCAATTGATGGCTACACATTTTTGTTATTCTTAAAAAATATTTATCTTTGGCAAAACCTTTTTCCTTTTAGGCATGGCATGTCAATGCATAAACGTCTGTTATTTGGAACTAAAAGATTATAGGTCTATCAAGATTAAAGGAATGAGTGTAGATATTTAGTAATTACATGGGTCTTATCACATTTTGGAGATTACTTTTTCTTGAATGAGGTTGTTGTCAATATATCCATTCATCCCTTTATTTATCTGTTACAAGTTATCATACTCGAAAAAGGTAATTCTTTCTGCGGTAGGAGCACATCAGTAATACCCCTTGTAACGGAATATAATTTATTTTCTTAATTTGCTGGAGGTATTAAATTAATGCATTTATGCCTTGCACTACGTGGTTAAATTGAACTACATTACCGATGCTACTTTCAATGGAATCATGCTGAATTTTGAATTGTACAGGGGATGTTTTGTTTATGGATTACAGCGGTGATCCCAAAACCAGAATGGGTTCATTGCAATCCTTTCAATCAAAGCTGCAGATCCCCAACTGCTGCAGAATCGACGCTTCAAGTCATTCAATTGAGTCTTGTATCCGTTTCCCTTGCTTTGATTTCGATTGGTGTTGGTGTGAGGTGCTCCGTCGCGCTCGGAGCAGATCAGATAGAAACGATAAGAAATTCAGCACCTCAGAGGATGAGGATCGTAGAAAGATACTTCATGTTCTATTTTGCGGCATCCTTCCTCACCATTGTAGTTTCTTTCACGGTGATGTCAGAGATGTTGGATCAATACGGATGGAGAGTGGGCTTTGGAGTCCCGACCGTTGTTGTTTTCATCTTCGTTGTTATATTTTTTGCTTGCTCTCCTCTCTACTTCAAGGAGGAGCCAAAGGAAGGGTTATTTACTCGCGTTGCCCAAGTGGTCGCCGCTGCTTTCATGAACAGAAAGCTCACATTTCCTGATCCAGAGGCAAGCGGATGTTACCTATCCGGGAACGACTCAAATATCAACGTGCCATCTGACAACATACGGTATCTTCGCATGGCCTAATTGATTTAGCATTTTATGCTTTACTTGAATATTTTTACGAAACTTATAGATTCTGTTCTTCTCTTAGATTTTTGAACAAGGCCTGCTTAATAACAAATTCCGCAGAGCAAGTAGCCCCTGATGGCTCAGCTGCCAACCCTTGGAGGCTTTGCACGGTACAGCAGGTGGAAGAGCTGAAAGCGCTCCTACGGGTCCTACCAATATGGACCACAGGGATCATGATGTGGGTGAATGCGAGCGAACTCCCATCCAAGTTGCTACAGGCTGGTTCGATGGAAAGGCCCAATCCCCAAAAACTTAAAATATTACGAGCGGTATTTCCGATAATTGGCGTTAGCACAATGTTGATATGGGGCATTTTGTATGACCGTGTTATTCTCCCTTTGGCGTCGAAGATCAAGGGTAAACCAGTGCGGCTCTGTGTGGAAGTAAGAATGGGAATAGGCCTCACACTTTCGTGCTTGGCAATGACAGTTTCTGCCATTCTTGAGAGCGTCAGGCAACAGAAAGTTATGCAAAATCAGAATTTGTCTATAATGTGGCTCTGGCCGCAGTATTGCCTACATGGATTAGCGCAAGGGTTCACTGCCGCAGGGCAAACGGAGTTCTTTTATTCTGAACTCCCCAACACGATGACAAGTATCGCTGTTACGTTGCTGGTGCAAGGAATAACGGTGGCTAATTGGCTGTCTGGTGTTTTACTAACAGTCGCGTCCGACCTAGCCACGAAACGGGGGAAAGCGATGACGTCGAATGACATGAGCCAAACTCCTTTGCGCTATTTATTTTGGTTTTTAGCTGCAGCAAGTTTCATAAATATATTTCATTACCTGATTACCATCAGGAAGTATGGTCCTCTTAAAAAATCAGAGGAAAACGGAGCTGAGTTGGCTGCAATGTAGAGGTCGGCGCATGTTGCATAAATGAAATGTAATTTGTTACGTATTTTATCAAACATATTTTATTGGATATTTTATTGGCTTTTTTGTAACTCCATTTTTTAGATTCCATGGCTCTCGATCTTGAGACTCGCGTCTCTGATTACATGTTTTTTCTCTAGCCTAGCTCCCTGAAAGATGAACATCTCAAAGCTTACTGCTGATTGAGTGATGTCAAACTAATTAAAACCGCCCCCTGTTTCCCAATGCAATAAGCTGCCGATTTTTCTTTTTCTGACTTCCACTGCCAACGAAGCAAGTGTTTCCCCTGTTCCCTGCAACCTTTTCCTCTATCTCCACTTCATCCCGCAAGATATCAAATCAACCTTTATATATATATATATATATAATAATAAAAAATTATACAATAAAAAATAAGTATCTTGTTTTTAAATTCTTCCACCATCTCAAAGCCTCTATTTAGGGTAGATTTGAAGGGAAAGGGGAGAAGAGGGAGTGGTAGATGTCTCTCTTGAAGTGTTTGTTTTTCTTTATTAATGTAGAGAGGGAGACGAAGGGATGATGGAGTCCCTTTTATTCCTCTATTTTTCATCCCTCCAAATTAAAAGGATTGCAAGGAATTTGATCTAAGCACTTAATACTTTTTAAACTTTTAAAAAAATAAATATATAAAAATATTTTTTAATTATTTTTTAATTAATAAATTTTAAATATTTTATTTTTTTATATTATTTAATTAAATAAAAATATTATTATTTCCTCTTTTTTACATTTGTTTATTTAAACAAAATTAATATCAATCATTTCCTTCCCTTCACTTCTCCTCTCTTTTCCATTTCCTCTTCTCCTTTTCCTTCCCTTCCCTTCCATTTATTAATTTTTATTCAAATAAAGTAAAAATTTAAATTTAAAATATCTAATAATGACTCAAATTCTTGACCAATGGAACATATCCTAAGGAACATCAAATCAACTTTATTACTTTGACTGTATGTGTATTCAAAAATATGTTCACAAATTTGAAGAGTACTATACTGACTTGAATCTTGGCAGTTGAATGGTATGAAATGGTGAACTCAGGGGCAACATCGATATGGCCAACTGTGGTGATGTGAATGGCAGCGCTTCCTACACGGTCAAATAAGGTGGCCATGGCTCCAACCTGCCGATTACCATCTGAATCCAGTAATGTTCTTCAGTATATCTCAAATTACAAACAATACCCAATACTTAATTGATTTGGCTAAGTATATTCAATTATAAGAAGTTTTTACCAATGACTTATTGATTTGAGTGAAAAAAAATTCATTATTTTTAAATAAAATCTTAAGTTCAAGTTTTATATTTAGAAAGACGAGTGTTGTTCTTTCTGAATATCAGAGGTTTAATACAAAAAAAAATTAAAAATTGTAAGATGACTTCTTATTTTCTTTATAGGACCTAGATTAGTGTAATCTTATTCTGATCCCATTTTTAAGGAAAAAGAATATAAATTATGCTCCCCCAGAGCCCAGACTTTGGTTCTACTAAAAGCACACAGTTCATTGCGGCATTTCATCAAACAATAAGCAGTCATATTTGTATCCAATTAAAACGCAAAAATAACCGGGATTTAAGTACCCTTCCAGACAATAATACACTTCTTCATAACCTGTAACTGCACCAAACCAGAAGTCCTTCTTCAGTTCGTATCTGCACTCTGGATGAACCTACAAAGCCCCGAGGTGGGTCCTCGGGGTAGACACTCCGATGCTTAAGTCAGCAATAATCGGGGCTACCTTTAGAACAGAGATAAAAGGAGCTTAGGGTTGGTTTCAATCACCTTTTGGCATGGCCCTTGAGGGGTATTTATATGTTCCGATGAAAGACCCATGTAGCATGCCAAGCAAGATACTCGGGATCCGATGTGTATCTCCAGGCAGTTATTTCAGGACCGGGAGATTGAGCCAAGCAAGATATTCGGGATTTGATGTGCATCTCCAGACAGTTATTTCGGGACCGAGAGATTGAGCCAAGCAAGATATTCGGGATTTGATGTGCATCTCCAGACAGTTATTTCGGGACCGGGAGATTGAGATATACTTAGATGCAAGGACGTCCATCGTAACTGCTGTGCAGCTGTTCGAGCGAGAAGCTCTGGATTTATTCTTTACTCCGATTGTAAAGGAATTACTGTCGTACGTCCGAGGTTGGACATATAAATACCCCTCAAGGCCCGCGCCAAAAGGTAATTGAAACCAACCCTAAGCTCCTTTTATCTCCGTTCTAAAGGTAGCTCCAATTATTGCTGACTTAAGTATCGGAGTGTCTACCATGATGACCCACCTCAAGGCTTTTTAGGTTCATCCGGAGTGCAGATACGGACTGAAGAAGGACTTTTGGTTTGGTGCAGTTACATTTGGCGCCGTCTGTGGGAATCCGAACTAAAAGCTCCCTTGTTGCTCTTATCATGGTTAAAACTAGGTCAGTCCGAGGTGGGAACTCATCCTAGCCTCTTGGATGAGGTCAGGTCCCTAGCAACCTTCCACCTCATCCCCCACCCCCAATCCCGAATACATTCCCTCATGTTGACCATGCAGAAGGAGGGGATGAAAATCAGCCACACAATTCAGCTCACAACTCAGCCTTTACTACTAACCAAGACGTAGTTGCAACTCAGCTCGCTGCCATGCAACAACAGTTTGGTGTCTTTCAGCTAGTGCTGGCTCAGCTATTAGCCCGGAACAATCTTGGTGATCCACTCATCAACCTACTTAATCATGCTCCACAACCCCTAGCTCCACCACAAAATCTTGAACCAATTCAGCATGCTCTTGCTATTAGTGAATCTCAGGGCCAATCTCACATCGCACCAGTTCAGCAACCCCTTCATGATGATGTCACTCGACGTCTTGATAGCTTAGAAAAGCTAGTGGCTGAACAGCGAGGTGCCCCACCTTCACACCCTGCTGCTGACTCCGTACCCCACCCTCTCAACACCAATATTACACTGGAACCCTATCCCGCTGGCTTCAGGATACCACAACTTGAAACTTATGATGGGACGAAGGACCCCGATGATCATCTACATGCTTTCTACTCTTGCATGCAAGCCCAGAATGCCTCTGATGCGTTGATGTGCAAAATTTTTCCCTCTACCCTCCGAGGTAATGCTCGAACCTGGTACTATAGTCTGCCTCCGAGGTCAATCAGCTCTTACACAGAAATGGCATCTGCTTTCGCCACAAAGTGTTCCAGTAGAAGGTTGATCAGGAAAACCATGTCTGAGCTGATGCTAGTTAAGCAGAGGGACGGAGAGTCTTTGAAGAATTTTATGAGCAGATTCAATGATGCAGTGCTGGAGGTTAACTCTTTCGACCAAGCTGTGGGAATTACAGCTGTGATCTCAAGTCTTAGCCATGAGAGATTCAGAGATAGTATGCTCAAACATCCTGCCACCACCTTCAGCGAGGTAAATGATAGATCATTGAAATTCATAACTGCTGAAGAATATGCCTTGTCGCAGAAACCAGCCCCCTCTAAGCACCAGAACCTAGACTGGAGGGAGGAGAATCCGAGCAGGAAGCGGATGAGGATAGCATAGAACCGAGGTCCAATGTCGACCTCCGTACCAAGATTCGGAAGGCCGAACTCTACACCCCCGCAATAGTCTGAAGGTAAACCTCCAGTTAATTAGACTCCTTTTAATTTGCCGCGGTCACAAATTTTCATGTAGATCAAGAATAAGATGGATTTAAGGCGTCCCGGCCCAATGAAAACTACTGCTGCTAGCCGAGATCATACTAGATATTGTGATTTCCATCAAGATCACGGTCATACAACAGAGCAATGTAACAGCTTGAGGTCCGAACTGAAAAATCTTGCCTAGAAGGGATTGTTAAATGAGTACATTCAGAGAGCTGAACAGCCACGGTTTGTCAGAGAACAAGGGCCACAGCCTCAAGGAGTTCGTAACCCACCAAACCGGCAAGGTGTGGGATATCAGCAAACCCTACCTCCGCTCCCACCACCAGCTAGAATCATACACATGATCACGGGAGGCTTGGAAGCCGGTGGACTGAGCTCTAAGCAGTGAAAGTTGTATGTCATAGAGGTTAAGCATCAGAACCGAGCTCAGAAGCGAAAGTTTGACGATGCTGAGTGGAAGAATCAACCCATTACCTTCACATCTATTGATCTCAATACAGTCGTTACACCTCACAATGACCCCCTAGTCACTTCTGTCACAATTAACAATTGTGAGGTGCAGCGCGTCCTTGTTGACATAGGGAGTGCACAAGATATCATGTACTTCCATTGTTTTGAAAGTCTTGGGCTGCATCCGGCTTTGTTGTAGCAGTATGATGGTCCCATTTACGGATTCAACAACCAATCAGTCCCAGTTGAAGGAGTCCTCACCATGAATGTTGCATTTGGAAGTGGCCGAAGTTATGTGACCCCTTCAGTTAGGTTTCTAGTAGTCAAGATGGCGTCCTCTTTCAACGTTGTCATTGGCCGACCCACACTGACTGAAATCCGAGCTGTGGTTTCCCAATCTCACCTATGCATGAAATTCCCAACTCTTACGGGAATAACAATGCTACGAGGCAACCAGGAGGTGGCCTAACATTGCTACATCACCTCGGTCACACAACCTCATAAGGGCAAAGATTAGACACTCGAGACTAATCCCAAACGGATTCCTGATGATCGGCAAGTTATGGGTGTTGAAATAGTAGATAACTGACCAGAGGATGAAACCAGAGCTGCTCAAGTCAAAGATGTGAAAGAAGTGCAGATTGATGACAGGGATCCGACCAAAAAACACAGATAGGAACTCGACTGAGCCCTGATGAGAGAACAGAGCTAATAGCTTTCTCCGAGCTAACAAAGATGTTTTTGCATGGACCTCAGCAGATATGCCGGGAATTCCCACTTCGGTTTCTTAACATAAACTCAGCACCAATCCATAAGAAACCAGTAGTCCAGAAGTGGCGCCTCTTCGGGGGGGAGAGGTTAACGGTCATCAAAGAAGAAGTTGAAAAACTCTTACAAGCTGGCTTTGTTAGACGGGTCGATTGCTGTGAATGGGTCGCCAATCCTGTGTTAGTGAAGAAGGCAAATGGCAAATGACGGATGTGCATCGACTACACTAACCTTAACCAGGCATGCCCAAAAGACTGTTACCCAATGTCAAACATTGACAAGCTGGTTAAGGCAGCTTCTGGAAATGAGAGATTAAGTCTCCTGGATGCGTATCTGGCTACCACCAGGTTCCAATGGCTCCTGAAGATGAAGAAAAAACCTCGTTCTATGCCGGCAATGAAATCTATTGCTATGTGATGATGCCCTTCGGTCTGAATAACGCAGGTGCCATTTACCAGAAGATGGTTACCATCGTATTCCAAGCTCAAATAGGCCGGAATCTGGAAGTATATGTTGATGATATCGTGGTGAAAAGTTTGAAAGCTAGAGATCACTTAACCGACCTCGAGGAGACATTCAACAACCTCAGAAAGAACATAATGAGGCTGAATTCAGCAAAGTGCATCTTTGGCGAGTCTGGAAAATTTCTAGGCTTCATGGTATCTAGGAGGGGGATCGAGGTTAACCTTGAGAAGATCAAAGTAGTAGCTAAGATGGAACCACCAAAGTCAGTAAAAGATATACAGAGGTTGACTGGAAGAGTGGCAGCTCTTCATCGGTTCATATCGAAGTCAGCAGATAAATGCCTGCCATTTTTTAAGATTATGAGGTTAGCCGCCCAGAAGGATGAATTGGGTAAACAGAAGAAGTTTGA